ACACCCGAAAAGCCCAAACAACAAACAAGACCAGACAACAAAAAAATAAACACTCTCACCCTATTATCCTTTATGTTCTGGGCAATATAGATTTACTAGAGGCCCGAACCGCGTAGGTCGGCCTCGCCTCCATTGAGCTGAATCTATTATGTCCGAGGCCTCACAGAGAATAGCTCACCTTACATCGGACGATCCTCTTTCTCATTACGACATCGACCATGTTTTTTAGAATCTCTAACATTTCAATGTAAGATTGTCACATGTGTCCAGCTCTTTGGTATGGATGGACAATGCCTCCCTTTTTAGACGTATCCAACCACAGTTTTTAGATCGTAGGGCTTGGACGAGAGTAGTTCATAAACCCCCAAGAACAAGCATTAGACGATAGCTGCCGAAGCTGACGGCCTTCTTGACAAAAGCTTGCGCACAGGAAAAATCCTGCAGTTGAAAGACAATTCAGCTGGCCAACGGACATGTCCATGCCAGCCAGTCTAATTCTCAACACTGCACGACTGCCGCAGCCTGGCTTGAAAGAGGAAAATGGGGGCTCCCCTGCAGGCTAAACCCCTCGTTCCAAGGCTGCGTTGCTGCCGGGCGCGGCCCAAAATGGAGAACAGGGGCGGGGGATGGTGGGTGGGGCAGCGGCTACATCGCATCGACAAGAAGAATATGGCAAGTCCCGAAAAATCCAGCTGGCTCATGGAGGCGGCATTTGCATCACAACACTTAGTACTACAAATCGATGAAAATCCAGCCGGCCAACAGCACCAAACTAGCAGTACGAATCAATAAATACCCTGCACAATGTAATACAATAATGTTGTTCAATTGTGGTGGATTGGGCTGGTGTTTGCTGCAACCCCAGTTGTCCTTTCAGCTGAGCGCAATGTAGCTCATGCTGGTTCATGCTTGCAACTTCATTGTTGCGCAGGAAGCTCTCTACCGGCTACATGTGTTGATTGCCCCAAAGTAATCGACCTCCTACGATTTCAAAGACAGTTCTGCACGTAGAAGGTGGAGAGTATGTTTTAGTCACCTGCACCACCTCGCCTTCTGTGCGAAAGTGAAGGCTCAGACATGATTCAGAGCTTTCAACCATTTATGTTTCGCCCGAATCTTCTGCGGTCTAGCGGTGGTTGTGAGGCAGAATGGTAAAACAAGCACGTGTGCTTCTGCACCTGGCCTTTGTTGGCTGTCATGTGCTGCTTTGTTTCTGGCGACTGTTGTTGCAGCCGAGTCGAGAGGAAGTGCTGGCATCAGGACTGCATTTGAAGCTTCCCAGGTATATTGAGCGTGAAGACTTGCCTTCGAAGGGTGCGGCACTTGTTTGCAGGGTGCTCATGAGTGTCTTGTTGCCCGAAACAGCAAGCAGCTGAAGAGCATGCCTTTCCCCCTTCTGAGCCGGTGGAGGTTGGTTTCGGTGCTTGGAAACTTGAAAGCCTTGCAGCTTGCTCACTCTCAGTGAGGCCCCGAAAATAGGGTTGCTGTTGATGACCTGGGGCTAATTCATCATCATATGGATGCATATGTATCTGAAGTAAATACGGTGGTTTCCTCCTTCTGGTGGCTCCGTTTAAATTCCTTGACAGCAACCCCGAAAAAACCCGGCCAGCACTGAGCCTTGGCAGGCGGCTTTTTGCCGAAGTTTCTGCATGTCAGTATCCCAGCGCTCCAGAGCGCGGGGTATCCAATGCGTTGTTGGTGTGAGTAGCATATGTCATGTGTCGGATGTTTCTTTCAAAGCTTCCAGATTGGGCCTTTCGCATATCCCTTTGTTTGGTTGGAGCCTCCATCTAGATCCACAGCAATCAGTACAATGAACAACGCGGCTCCGTTTGATCATATATGCTTTTCCTTTTTTTGTTAAGGGAATTGAGATGCACAGATGCTGTTTCCGTGCACCGTGCAGCGCTGAGGTTAGTTCTCGTCTCTAGGACTTCCAGCCAGTCCAGTGAGACTCTGCCGGCCCAGCGGGTGCGACTTCTGTCCACAAGCTGGGCCGATATCCTTGACGACGATGACGAGGACCTCTTGAGGCACTTGGCTAGGGAGGCGATGCACCTGCGCTACGAACAGTTGATGAGTTTGTTGGCCGTGACGTGGGAGGACCCTGCGCCCGACCTCATGCTGGAAGCAGCTGCGCCTGCTGCACCGGCAGCAGCAGCGGCGCCAGCTGGGATGGAGCCCGCTCCGGAGTCCGAGACCGCCCTAGCTGACTGCGCGAGCTTGATCAAGGCCTTTGTGCAACGTGCAGGACGGGGTGTGAAGTGAATGCTGGATGCCAACCTGCCAGGAGTACAATGTGGACCCTGACCTCCAGGGATTCCAGAGGTCGTACGCCCTGGAGACAGCCATCGCGGACCAGCATGGCGAGTCCATGCAGGCGCCTGCTGGACAAGCTTCTCTTAAGTGCGTGCACGGCAGCAGGAGCTGTTTTTCGACACTGACCTACCGGACCTGGGGAGGCGTGGACCTCGTCAAATTGTCTTCTCGCGCGATCTTGATTTGTGATGTGCGCAGCTGCGCGCGGCATCTGTTTTTGTGGGCTCTGTAAGAGAGTGATCGCGCCTTCAGACCTCTCACTGCGTGCAAGTGAGGTGAAGATGTGGTCGATAAAACTCCCGATGCCCCAGAGGTCCACATTTGTCTTGCATTGGTGCAGATTCCCATGCAAGGAGGTTCGCTGGGAACACCCAGTTGTGAGTGGGCCGCTGGATGTTGAGCCAGGAGCCGCAAGTGGCAGGCCAGCAGCAAGTGGTGCTTCCAGCACAACTCCCGCCAGTGCACCATCCCGTGCCGAAGCGAGCGATGCACATCCGCATAGCTGGAGCCCCAATGTTGGACGATGTGACATTTGAGTCATCTGCCGGCTTTTCATCTCTTTAGTATCTCTTTGCAAGGTGCAGGCTACCACGGCAAGGCCCAACAGCTGCCTGCTTTTGGAAGCCCCGCCAACCTTGAGAATCTCCCTGCTTGAAGTGGATCTGCCGGAAGGGTGAATGCAGCCTGTTCAGCAGCTGTGGCTGCAAAGCAGCGCGAGGCTCTGGAGGCCTGTGCCCAGTGATGGCCACCTGCTTTTTGAAGCCCCGCCAACCTTAAAAATCTCCCTGCTTGAAGCGAATCGGCTAGAAGGGTGCAAGTCTCCGCCGACGCAAGTCTAGCGATGAGGCAGAATCACCAGAAAAGCAGGGCCAGCATGCAGCTGTGGCAGGGTGGTGGCTGAAGCAGGTGACAACATCCTCTACGTGCTCCAGTTCCTCAAATTCACTGCCAAGGGGACAGGCGCGTTGCAGTAACAGGTCGTTGTCACCCCGAGAGCCCCTTCTAGCATGCTCTGGCACCGGCAAGGAGAAGGGGTGGACGGGCAAAGGACCCGCCGCTGAGGTCTGTTGCAGTGTTAGCCAGATTCGCGCGAGCTTCGCAGGACAGGGCAAAGCGGCCAGGGCAGCACTTCGTCAATTGATCGAGGAGCAAAAACAGGAGGAGGCCCCATCAGCATGCTGATAGGCACTCAATCCGTTGGGCAGATGTTGCAGGCAGACAGCACGAACAAAGTGCAGCAGTGAAGCGAGGCACGGTGGGCGCTGGCTGATTTTCCTGACATGTCAGGGGCCTGGCTCTGAATGGAGGACTTGGGGTCACGCCTGCTGCCTCCGAAAAATCAACTGCGCGCTGCCTAGCTTTTGCACGCTTTCGCATCCTTTCGCATGTTTTCGCCGCTTGGGCAGCCTGACCCCACACGTGCCGCAACACACTCGTAGCCCGGCATAGCCGAAACAAAATGTTGGACATGTTTTCTCACCTGGGGAGCTTATCCGATCGTTGCAGAGAGAGAACCTGCAAACTTACCTACAGGACCTGGACACAGCTGTGGGCACTTGAGCATACATTTCTCAGGGAGCTCGATTGTGGTGAGGTCGGTCGGTGATCAGTCGTGGTCTGTGCTGGCAGATTAGGGTGAAGCCGCGAATTTGGTTTTGCGGTCCTCCAAGGTAGGTTTGGGGTATCTCTGCTGAAGCCTGATGCATCGCGAGAAAGCCCATCAGTATATGCGAGGGCATCGCTGCGTAGCAGAAGTTCCTCATTGGCCTTGCTTTAGAAGGCAGAGCACTGCTCACGGGTGTCAATCAATCAATCCATCCATCAGCTGATGGAAGGTTCTAGAATGACAAACACCCTGAGTTGAACCCTAAAAACATTGGCGCATTAAGCACGCGGAATGAGCCTCAATGTAGTTTTGCAAACTTTGAGCATTATAGAACAAGCAGGCTGCGTTCAAGAGTAAGCGATTACTCTGCTTGCTGCCGCACAGAATTAGGAAGGCTACCCCATTTGCACCTGCCTAGATGTGAAACTTGAAAGGGTGCCCGAATGTGAATGTTCCTTGTAGGTGCAGGGATGAATAGATAAATGCTGCATCCTAAGCATCTGGAGGGTCCCTGTGCCGCCTTTGGCTGCTACTTGTCATACAGGGCCTCTGGAAAAAGATGAAAAGCATACAGGGTTCATGGGGAGTATAGGGATTCTGGGGATCAGAGGCTTTTTTGGGCACGCATATGTTGGGCTCCCTTTACTATGGGGGCACAAAGCATGTTGATTAAGAGGTGCAAAAACCAACAAGATTACAATAGATAACATTGAACATCGGAATTGCAAGCGACTATGTGGGGAGTATAGGGGTTACGCGCAGTGCTTTTTCTCCTATGTAGGGAGTACGCAGGTCTAAACACAAGCTTTGGCTGGCAGGCTTATTCACCTCGGGGCAGCGCAATGTTTGCAAGTCCATGCGTATGACTGCCAGCGCTCAAATGAGAAGATTTCGGCCCAAGAAGAACGTAGCGCGAAGTCTGTACCACATTGGCTCGGCCCACATGCCTGACATGCGCAGAGCTTGGATCATGCAACATGGAGCACATGAAAATTGATCGCAGATGTTGGCTTGCTGTTGCCCCATATGCCCCATCATCCCATCAGTGCTGAAACCCCTTTGCAGGTCTGGCGAGCAGGAACGCTACAGAGGCAGGATTAAGTCCTGGGGGCCGGGCACGCCCGCCACCCAGACCTTGACTTTGTAAGGCACAGTTGTCTTTAAGGTGAGAAGTGTGGCCTAGGCTGTCCCACGTGATCCCATGTGTGTGCGTAGCATGTGTGGCAAGGTTTGGTTTTATCACATGCCCGGAGCTGGCTACTAGATTCAAGCGCGACATCTACATGTCGCAAGCCGTGTGGTTCTCGGCCTGACAAACGCGGACTGCAGACAGATTGAAGCCTCTTGACAGTAAGGAGTACAAAGATTGGGCGATCGACACACCAGTCAGCTTCAGTCTGGTGGTCACCGAGCAGCGTCACGGCCTCGGGGCCTGCATCAATTCTCAGCTGGCTTAGTACTTGTGACATGTCGTGATGAAGGCAAGCCTCAAGCGAGAGACGTCCGAGAGGAAGTCGACTCCGACCTCTTGGCCCTGTCGTCCTTGCCTTGCGAGGTGAGTTCTTCAGCAAAATGCAGCAGCTTTTGACGTGTGAGGCCAGCGAGCACTGGCAGCTGCAGCCTGAGTCGCGCTCCTTTCTTTGCAATTTTTTTTTTGTCTGGCTTGGTTGTCTGCAGGGGCTTCTGCAGCTCTGCGGTGCCAGCCTGGCACACAAGACACAGCTGACGAGGCCCCAGACCGTCTCGAGTCCCTTCCTCGGCCGCAGAGAGACGGGGGTGCATCCCTTGGTATCCTTTGTTTGGTGGGAGCCTCCATGAAAATCCAGAGCAATCAGTACAATGAACAACGCTGCAGATGATGCCGCTTCTCGTGGCATCACCCCTCCCCCCCACGGACAGTCACAGGGGTCGTTGTTTTTGATGCCTCAAAGCCGCCATCCTCGCAACTGTCATCACTTGTAGCCTCTCGTGCTTTCGTCGCGACTCAATACCAACAGTCACAGGGCTCATCGCGATCCTCGCAGCTGTCATCGCTGTTGACACCTCGTATTGCTGTCTCAATTTGTCTCAGTTTGGAAGTAGTCACAGTCACAAGGATCGGCTTGGTCTTCATCTTGCATAAAGCTTCTACAACCTTGTCTAACCCGTCTTGAAAGTTTCATAAACCTTCTATACACCCCCCGAAAGCCTCATGTAAACCACAGGACTCAAATCACAGGCCACAGGACCCCGGAAGGGGTAATAGTTCAATCCTATGTGAGAGCCTAGAAGATGGGTCATGTTCCTTACCCGCCTAACCCCCTAACCACATCGGGGGGCCGGGGGGGCCGGGGGGGCCGGGGGGGGGGATCACCATCAGACCACACCCGCACCGCAGGGACGGGGAGGACACCCACCTACAACAGAGGGTGCGAGACCACACCACACCACAGGGAGGAGGAGGAGGAGGAGGAGGAAACCAGCAGACCACACCACACCACAAGGGGGTGGGGTGGAGAGCATCATCGCATTACCACGATCACCGTAAACCAGACCAGACCAGCTGGATCATATATATCCCTTTCCTTTTTTGGTCATTGGTGAAGGGAAAGTTCAGCCGAAACTTGCAAATGGAAGTGCTCTAGGGCCTAAATCCACAGATGCTATTACCGTGCAGCGCTGAGGTCAGCCCCTGTCTCTAGGACTTCCAGCCAGTCCAGTGCGACTGTGCCGGCCCCGCGGGTGCGACTTCTGTCCACAAGCTGGGCCGATATCGTTGACGACGAGGAAGAGGACCGCTTGAGGCACTTGGCTAGGGAGGCGATGCACCTGCACTATGAACAGCTGATGAGTTTGTTGGCCGTGACGTGGGAGGACCCTGCACCCGACCTCACCCTGGAAGCAGCTGCGCCTGCTGCACCGGCAGTAGCAGCGTCGCCAGCTGGCATGGAGCCCGAGACCGCCTTACCTGACTGCGCGAGCTTGATCAAGGCCTCTGTGCAATGTGCAGGGGGGCGTGGAGTGAATGCTGGATGCCAACCTGCCAGGAGTACAATGTGGATCCTGACCTCCAGGGATTCCAGAGGTCCTACGCCCTGGAGACAGCGATCGCGGACCAGCATGGCGAGTCCATGCAGGTGCCTGGACAGGCTGACGTCATGGAGGCTCCTACCGAAAACTACCTGAAGCAGCAGGGCAGCAGGCCGGAGCACGCGTCGCTTGTTCGAACTGTCAAGCTCTGGTCTTCTTGGCGCATGGTTGCGTGCCAGGCTTTTAACACTGCCCCTGACCTACCGGACTAGAGGAGGCCTGGACCTTGTTAACTTGTCTTCTCGCGCGATCTTGATTTGTGATGTGCGCAGCTGCGTGCGGTATCTGTTTTCGTGGGCTCTTTGAGACAGTGATCGCGCCTTCAGACCTCTCACTGCGTGCAACTGAGGTGAAGATGTGGTCGATGAAACTCCCGATGCCCCAGAGGTCCGCATTTGTCTTGCATTGGTGCAGCGTGGCAGACCTTGGATTGCAGAATATCTGCGCCTTGAGGGAGAGGTCGTTGAGGACTTCGGACTCCCATGCAAGGAGGTTCGCCGGGAACACCCAGTTGTGAGTGGGCCGCTGGATGTTGAGCCAGGAGCCGCAAGTGGCAGGCCAGCAGCAAGTGGTGCTTCCAGCACAACTCCCGACGGCGCACCATCCCGTGCCGAAGCGAGCGATGCACATCCGCATAGCTGGAGCCCCAATGTTGGACGATGTGACATTTGAGTCATCTGCCGGCTTTTCATCTCTTTAGTATCTCTTTGCAAGGTGCAGGCTACCACGGCAAGGCCCAACAGCTGCCTGCTTTTGGAAGCCCCGCCAACCTTGAGAATCTCCCTGCTTGAAGTGGATCTGCCGGAAGGGTGAATGCAGCCTGTTCAGCAGCCGTGGCTGCAAAGCAGCGCGAGGCTCTGGAGGCCTGTGCCCAGTGATGGCCAGAGATGTACATTCTGGTGGCTATTTTTCACTTGGTGTGTCAGGAACGGAAGAAACTCCTGGGCTTGCCTCCCCTGGACACAGCGCCACCGAAACCAGCATGGGCATCGACGGTGGTTCAGCCTCGCAACCTGCGGCCCTGGTCATGGCCCGTGCCAAAGCCGCCGCAGACTCAGTTGCATGTCATGTCTGAGGCTTTGCCGTGTATGCCGAGTGCCTTGACGAATTCTTTTCTGAGGCCCAGTGGCCCTCCGCCTGCCAAGCTGCAAGAGCCGCCGGGGCCTCCAACTGAGCTGCAGAGCAGCCTGTCAGCCAAAGCTCCAGCCTTCCAGCCTGGCTATGCTTGGCACAAAGCACCGCCCGCCCAGTGCGCAGTGGCCACACATTCCTATCCCGAACACGGGGACCAACGATTCCACCAAGTGCCAGTGGAAAGCGGCAACATCACATCCATGACGCCTTCAGTGCAAGCTCACCCTCTCGTTTTGCCCCGCACGTCTTTGCAGGCAACGCCGCTGCCGGCAAATCACTGGCCATCCCCGTCAAATCTTGGGTCCCGTCCAGCTCTTTCCCAAACATATCCCAGTCATGCAGCGCAGGACTACTACCCAGCAGGCAGGAGCAGCGTGTTGGCGAACTCCTACCAGCCCATTCCGCAACAAGCGGCCTGGCATGGAGGCCCCGCAC